GGCGCATAACAACAAGATAGCACTCCTTATTGACCGTATGACCATGTGGCAAGAACTCCTGATGTACTACACCATGATAATCGAAAAAAACAGTGAATAAAACCTTGACATTTGATTGAACTTGGCGTGCTTTTTTTGGTCTTGGCTCTTCAATTGGGACAATTGAACTTTGGTTTCGATGTCATAACCATACACCCATGATTCGTCACCAGTTATGACGGTTTTTTTTATCATAATTCAGCAATTTTGGAGCGAACTTCACTGTCACATGCTTCATGCCCAAAATTTACGAAAAAATTTCATGGCATGAGTCAACCGATATGCTGATACCCTCAGCAACTTCTCTAATAGTGATTCGACGATTCTCCATAACAATTTTGTTCACTTTTTCCACATTTTCATTGGTTATTGACGTGCTGGAGCGTCCAGGGTGAAAAGATCGTACCACTTGTAAACATATTTCTGACTCAGAGTACCAATACTGTATGCCACTGTCAACATTTCAAGTGTTTTTGAGCACCTAATTTCATTTTATACACTAAATTTGATGCAAATTCTTTGAACCATTTTTTTCGAAAGCAGAGAATCGCTGAACACGCAAAACCTTCCAACTTTTATGCCTGTCATCAACAAAGTAAACATGATACACAACAGAAACTGTTAACATATGTTCCAGACGAGTGTACCAACATTAAAAAAACCGCCAATCGAATGTACTTAGCCCGCAAAATTTGAACATTCAGCTTATTTCCTGAACAGATCTCGTATATTAGGCTGATGATCAAAGTCTAGTACACTAATCAGTATTTTTTTGCCTGTAATCCATGAATACCCTAGCATCTATTATAGAATCAATATATTCAGTATCTTTTCTTCTCGAAATTCCCAGACCAATCTCGGTGTCACTCTTGGTTCATCAATGCACCAAGTGCAAATACTGCTTAAAAGGCGAATGTGTATTGACCAAGCGTGTAACTGTAATGTAAATTTCTCCCTGTACGATATATACTAGGTATTTCTGCTAAGCACACTTGGGTTCATGAATATCCATATATCAATGTCCCGGTGCAACCAGGACATTGATCCACTCATTTAATGCACAAGCACTGCACTGAATCTTTAAAATTCTCTGAGAGAAGTGACTATGCGAATGTGTTGTTTTATGTTGGCCTTTAATACCGTGTTAGGAATCACACGTTAAAAGGTAAGACCTCGTTAGTCCTTAGCTCGCACAAGTTTCTCAACTTTTGAGAGTTGTCGTTCGTATGGGGGCGACAGCTGATTAACGGAAAAACAGATTTTAAAACAGATTTTAATATCTGTAGATAATATTCATCTGGAAAAACCTCGGGAATTTTATTCCACAAGAAAGCCATTCTCCATCAACTACTTGTCTTATTTTTTTTTCATTGAACCTTTATATTCTACTGATTTTTTTTATTTTCTCATATCTGGTGAATTTTCTAGTCTACTTCATTAACAGTTTATCATTAACCATTTCCAATTACAATATTTCCAACTTTCATATTTATTTGATGCGACTATATGATTTCTTTTTATATCATTGTTATACCATTTTTGTTTTGAGTATTGAAATTAAATGGAATATCACAGTGATATAGAAATAAATTATACAATTGATTGAAAAGAATGTTTAGTTCAGAGGAGATGTAAACACCTTGCAAATATAACGAACTTATCAAGTTTTTGAATGTTCACACGCTGCACTTTGATATCACTCTAAGTAATTTATGTCCGTGTTTTGATGGCTCAGTCATTGGGATGATAAACTCGTACAGCAGGAATGTATGTCTGATAAGTTATTGTTTTCAACAGCCTTTCTTCTAAATTCAAGGTTGAGAAGATAAGATCAATTCAGGTAGAACTCTTATTAGTAATTCGTATAGCTTGTGTGATGTGATTTATCATTCCAAACTCTTCAGAAGAGTTGATTTAATTAATCATTTCTTGTATAATGTTACGCCTCTGGTTTTCTTTCATATGTCACACTTATCGAATTTATAGCTTTATTTAATTACCTGAAAATATAACTTATAATCCTTATACTTCCAACAGAGTTATATAAGAGAATCAAAATACGTTGAATCCTCTTTGAACTGTTTTTTTTTTCACCAGGGTGACTAATCCTTGACTATATCACACAAAGTCGTTTCTTGATTTTTACGTTCACAGTATATTACATTCCTCTGAATATGATAGGAAGATACATTCCATTGGTCCTCTGGCTCTTTGTATCAATAATGATATGAATAAAGGTTACCTGTTCAATATGATTTCTTGGTATCATGTTTACATGAACATGATTGAATTCACATTTTGGAAAAATGCAGAGACCCTTCAATTTATCATTGAAGGGGGAGCCCGTGGTTTACAAATTTTAATATTTTGTCTAATAGTTTTGTAAAATATACGTTTTGTTAAATTTTTTTGGTAATTAATTTGTTGAATAGAACTGGTCGATACTTGATGAAAATCCATATTGAAACTCATTAATATAGTTTATTGTATGATCTTTACGCTTGAGAAAGCTATTGTATAGCGAAACATGGGTCGCGGTTTTTGTAAAACCCTGTATAGTATAATCATTGTAATAATGAGAATTAATTTGCTGTTTGAAAGATCAAACTGATGAATGTTATAAAAATAAAGATTTTGTTTGAAACATTATTTGATGCAAATCTTCCAAAGACACTGGTACCGTTTTATAGATTTCACTTATCATATATCCCCTCAGGAAGAAATCAAGGTTTGGCAAATCTGGTGATCATGGAGGTCATTCGGTGTTGCATCTTTTCGAAATCAAGTGTCATGAAAAATGTTGGTCTAAATCAACAGTATAATGAAGGTCATCCGACAATTCAACAAGGCTTTCCTCCATCATTATACTCTAAACACAATACTATTGAAACATTTTGGGATATGATTTTTCAATCTCTTTTGGGGGCGAAATTGGCCAGTGTCACGAATACTGAAAAGAGTGTAGTGATAGATTATGATAATTATCTACATATTGCTTCCAAAATTTTTGGACTCCTTAAGGTTGATAGGTGGAATGGTACTCACTGTATGGAAAGAATATCATTTTATTGTCTTTACTTGATTGTGTATCAGAAAATATCATATAAAAGCAGAGATCTCCGGCTGCTTTTATAAGGCTGGATTTCACATGATTTATTTTATATATTTTATGGCTTGTCCATTTCTTCCAAGTGTCCCAAAACATTGAATCCTTATGTGTTCATTGGTTTTTCCTCCCACTTTTTCATGACACCCATTCCAACAATCTTGATTCCTGTACAGGTCCTTTGTTGGATGTTTGTCATATTTTTCTGGGCATCGTTTGCGTTGGCCATTAATTGTTTTTTTCTTGTTATCCAGTGCCACACATTCACATAAATCATGACAAGCTGTATCTATCTCTTTGTTGTATAGCTGACAGCTAAGATTTCCACTTGTCCTCTAAATGGTTAGTCACCCTCTAATCATTCTGAGTGGACTCCTGCTCTGTTCAAGCGGTTCATCAGTTTTTTTCAAGGCTATTTTTCGGGTTTGTTGGGCGTGGTCTGCAAGTTTATATGCTTGGCGTTTCGTCTACCAGTGCGGTAGATGTTTAACACATCTTTTTAAAGAAATGTATTCTATATTAATATATGATTTTGTCAATGAGATATCATCTTCATACAAAAATGAAACTTTCTATTTTTTGCTTGATTGATCATTTCATATTCGATTTTTGACCTGTCTTCATACCAAGTGTACGTTGGTAACCTCAACGGGGATGTTTGTAATGATAATTTGTTTTGTTTATAAGAGAGAAATTCTATTCCACTGGATTATTCAAAAGTACGATGAAAGTCCCAGCGGATAATTTTACTGAATTTGAAGTAAAGTTAATGCCACATCTTCATTGACGGGACTGTTTTTATCTGTCAGAGCATTTCTGTTTTCACATGGTAGTGTCATGTGGTCCGTAAACATTTTTAATGTTTGCTCTTCTACATATTCCAAAATTTCAATGCCAGATCCCTTTAAACTTGATGAATTATAACTTTATATTTTTTAGAGTTTCTAAACTAAGGATCCCGGAGACTTATTAATCTATCCTTTCATAGACTTATTGACGGTTTCACTATTAGTAGATTTTTTCTGGATTTACAAATTTACCTATTTCACCAGTTACATTCTTTATACTAGATTATTTAATGTATTAATGTCCCATGTACACTTTCATAATTCACTTTCCTTTTGTTTTGAATTCAATGACTGAATTATTGCGTTTATTAAAATAGAAAGAATCCAAATATATTCAGTAATTACCAGACAATAGATACCAGATAGATGGAATGAAGAAAAAGAAATGTGTAACATCAAATTAACAGCAAATTACTATTGAAATAAACCCATCCTAATACATTTATAGAAGCTATATCAAGTTATTTTTTAATACTTCTATAAGCTGAATCATAATTTTCTGTTTTGGATTCGGTGGAGGAAACACCAAAATTGAGTTATTTTGTGGAAAATATCAAAGAGCATGTTATATGTTGATATCATGATAAAACAAACAGAAATCGATATATATATATGATATCACATGTTACAGTTTATTTAGTAATAAAATTTCTAACTGGTTTTGTTCATATTTCAGTTCCATAAATTTGCTCTGTAATTTCAACTAATTTTTCATTTTCCTCAGTGCTCCCCGAGATGCCCCTACCTACCCCTTCACCTCAGACACTAAGTAATAAGTCCCTGCTATTTCACCCAAGAGTAGCGGAAGAAGCACAAAACTTACTTGGTGTGCGCGACGAGGTACTGGTACCACAGTTGGTCCAATCATTAGAAAAAACATCAGCAGAGCATATGTAAGTAACAAAAAATAACATGGAATTTTATGAATGATTACTTGTAAATTTTTATTATTATTTTAGAGAAGTGATTAATTGATCTTTCATAATAATATGAAATTTCAGCATCAGCACATTCATCCCAGCAAATGATGCAACAACAGGTTCAAATGACACTGATGCAAACTCAAGCTCAACCTCAAGCATCCCAGCATCAAAACCAGCAACTTCCGCTGCAACAAGCAGTGCAACAGCACCAGCAACAACCCATTCATTCAGAACAACAAAATCAGCCTCATCAACAACAGTGGAATCATACAGGTCAACCAACCATCCATGTTCCAAAAGAAAAAGACTCGACAGTTCAAGAACCGGGGCAGTTACCGAATCAGCATTATTTGCAACAGCAAGCAGCAAATAATCAGCCTATGCCTAATCAGGCCGGGTCTTGTCAAAATGTGCAGAATTCCAATCAACCAGGTCCCAATTTATTGAATTCAATGCAGTTCACCACTCCATTCGTGCCACCAGGCAATATATCTATCACAATAACTGTGAATTCACAAATAGGTCAGCAGGATGTTGTAAGAAAAGTTGTATTTCATTGATTTACATTGGTTTTTCAGGTCAGGCAAATCCAAACCAACAGATTCTAAGCCAAAGTTCAAGTCAGCCGCTTTTGACTCAACCTCCAGCTCATCAGCAACCATCTGTCGTGACAGTGGAAGCACGCCATGAGCAGATGATTGTAAATACTGGCCTGAGGGAAGAAGAAAAAAAGGAAGTTCAGCTGTCACAAACAGCATCTGTTGTTAATTGCAATAGTAGTCGGGTTTCAGAAAGTACATCATCTGCGAAATCATCTCAATCCACCCCTAATGTTCAAACATCGACAAGCGAGCTTCGACAATTGAGGCGAATACCGACTAGGAGTAAGTTTTTTTATATGTCAGCTGGAAAAATCTTTCTGTTTGGTGACAAAACATCTCAGTACATATAGTGAGACATCTTTCCTGACATCAGCTTGATTTCTTTCCTCCGAATTCTCCCACATTATTTGTTTGGTGAAATAAAAAGCCAAAATGTTTTTCCCAAAAACTAATCTCTCCTAAAAAACGTCCGCTTTTCAATATAACCGTAGATTTAATATTTATATTCACCACGAAAAAGCTGCTGTGATAGCTAAACGTGGTGATATATTTTTTGAAAATAAAATTTGTGAAAATCAAATCGTAAGGTGTGGTTCATGAAAATATTTTATATTAAACAAGAAAAGTGGATCCGCTCTGTAACCGTCTATATAAAAGAATAGATAACTCCTTCCCCTATACAATCTGTGAGATGATAGAAAACTCAAAGTGTGTTATGTTGTTAAAAATGGAAATAAAATTTCTGTCTTAATTGCACACATGCAACTAGTTGAAGCTGGAACCTGAAACCACAGTCAAATCATATCAAATCAAAATATACTTTATTGTCCGAAGATTTGCATCTTCAAACTATAATAGGGTCTATCAACAAGTAGGTTCTTCACTGCCTTTTTGAAATGAATGTTGATTAGATTTGCAGATCTCATTTCTAGTGGTAAATGATTGAACAACTTACCACCATTATAGTATATTATGGAATCCTTGATTAAATTCGAAGTTGGGATGGGAAGTCGAAAGGTATAATTGCTGTTACGAGTAACATAAAGAGTAGAAGCAAAGTTGAACTTCGATTTATGTTTATAAATAAGGCAAACCGTCTCTAAGATAAAAAGTGCGATGACTTCAAATTTTATTGGCAGTGAACAAATTCCCGTACGATTCTCTGAGTTTAACTTCACAGAGACATCTTAGTGCCCTCTTCTGTAATATCAATACAGAAGAGAGAAAGGATGAGTTGCATGCTCCCCTAACAGGTATTCCATAACGTAGTCGAGATTCAATAAGTAAACGGTCTTTGCTAAATGGAAACCCAACTCATTTGAAACCACTCTACCAATCAATCAATCAAACTGTACTTTATTGTCCAAGAATAATTATTCTTATTGACAAAGTGAGTAGATAACAATGAAGTGGATATCCACTGTGAAGTGGTAAGTGATTATATATTTTGCCACCTTTGTAGATAAAAGAGTCATATACAAGAGACGTGGTAGGCAGTGGGAGTTTGATGTCATTACTTTGCCGAGTTACGTAATGTGAAGAATTTGAACCAAATTTATTCAAATGTTTTTTTACAATAAGTACCGCAATACGTTTGCTCAACCAAGTTGGCGTCACCACTATATAAACAATTTCTTACTCTTAACTTCGCCTATTTATATTCAGGGTGAACTTTTATTCTCACTTTTAGTCATACATCAATAATCTTAGTGAGTGGTTCATCTAAAAGTTATCAATAACAGTTTGATAACTGGCTTTGATTTTTCTGTTGATCTACAGACTGTTTCATCTTAGAGATATGAACTTTACTAATATTTTTAGTACTGAATACTTCATCGGATACTTCCTCAAGTGACTCATCAGTATTGAAAGATGCTATGAAGGCTGACCGAAAAACAACAGTTAGCGAATCTAAAGATAATTGCATGACCAAATTATTAGAGTCGAAAGTGAAATATTCTGAAATAAAGAAAAAAATGTCTGTTGACATCCCATCCGAAGTCAAACCTCCAAAAGAAGAACTTCCTAAAGTCGAACCCAAGGAAGAAATCAAAGATGAGCACTCACCTATGCCATGTATTAAACAGCCTATTATAAGACTCAGCAGGTTGTCTGAAGCAGATCAGATGCTAATCCAGAAAAACCTGAAAGAATTCGTAGAGAGCAAGCCTAAATTAGCTAAGGATCTCGGCATTGAATTACCTGATGTCAAATTGGAAATCAGTTCTGATTCAGAAGATGAGAATGTGGGCAGTCAAAGGCGACGGAAAAGGAAACACAGTGATAGTGATGAAGACACCTTCTCTGCTTTGGTGGGAAGCAAAAGAAAGAAAATACTCAAAGAGGAAGCACCTGATCCAATAATTGTGAAACCGAAGCTCAGAAGAGTTGAAAAAAAATTCGTCCCTGTTCTTGAAAAGTTATCCCAGGAAGAACTTATGGAAACTAATACTTATCATAGATTCAACAAGTCAATTGAGCATGTTTTGAGATCCGGAGAGGATATTGACATTTCTGAAATAGGTAAGTGGTATTGAGAAAAAGGTAAGTTTTATTAAAATCTCATTTTTGTAGCGGACGACGGCATGATTCAGGAGGAATACCTTTTGAGCAGGAATGTCATGCAAGAGTTGTGCACTGAAGCAGCGAAGCTGAAGATCCTCGGAGCCATGGAGATGATTCCAACGGAGAAACTGACAAGACTCTTGAACATTTTAGAACTAAATATTCGTGGTGGAGATCGAGTGTCGCCCATTTCTGATGTAAGTTTTAGTGTTTTTATTCCAAATTGATGAAGGATTCATTTGTTGTTATTCAGAACCTGCAGTTGGTGCAGGTTCTGAATTTTATTGTTACTCCATTGGGTTATTTGTTCACAGCGTGGGTCTTGTTACGCATTACCGTTCAAATCGACAAATGGACTTAAAATACCAAATTCTCACTGAATACCAGCAAACTGTCCCAAATTCCACTCTGTTTATAAGACTTCTCGAATTTTTGCTTTCTCAGTTGTCTATTTAAGAACATGATATTTGAATCCAGGGCTATCTCAATTGAACACCATTTATTTTTGAAATTCCATTTTATCTTATACCTATAGATTTTTTTCATTCATTGTTTTTGTGTTTTCGTTTTTAATTAATTTTGTAGAAAAAACTTGTATGTATGTGCATATTGGAATATTTTGAAAAAAAAATATAGTTTTTTAGGGAATAATGCATAAACTGAAATGACTTGAAAAAATTTACACGTTTACAAAAATCGAAGTGACCATTAACTGAAATGTGACAAGTTGGTAATGATATTATTAATACTGCTAGCTATAAACTTATAAAATGTTATCTTATTTTTTAGTTCATTTGTTATACTTGTGATTTTGAAAACCTATATACTAACTTTTTATTTCTGAACACTAAAAATTTTAGAACAATATGATAATAGATACATCCACTGAGGCTACTTTAAATTTACTTCTGATGGAATACATTGAATCACAATAAAATGGTTTTGATTTTTGAGACAAAAGTGACAAGTTGAATTCAACTGTTTATGTTTTTTTGTTTACAATTTTGGAAATCCAGAGAATAATACTTTCAGTTCATAACTTCTTTGTCAATTAAATGACTCTATAGCATAATTCCTACAACTTTCATTGATGAATTTTGTTGTATGCTTTGTTTTCAGATTTCCTTTCATTGTAGAAAAGTAGATTCTTTTTTTGTTGTACATAACCAGCAGTATTATTGCCATAAGATAGCCTTGCTCCTTTAGAAAATCATTGGAAAAATATAAGAATACAGTTATATAAAGCAGAATAGTATACACTCACATAAAATTATTCCCATTCCAAGATTCTGTTAGTAGATAATCCAAACCAGGCTGAAATTGTGAATCATATTAAATCACAAGTAAAACTTTCACAATTTTTTGAAAGTGACTGACGAGTGACAAAACCCTGGAAATAAATTTCCCCAGTATTTACTCTTTTTGGTAGCACGTCATTAGTATATCAAATGATGGTTGACACACAAAAATTTAGAGTCTTTTTATGTTCAAGAAATGTTGATCATTTGAACGGTTTGAGTATTTCTTTACTTGAAAAGTAGACATTGATATCTGAATTTTCAAAGTTTTTATGAGAAGAAAACTTGTCCATTTTAGAAACTCAAATTTTATTGTCCCTTAATCTGCGGTAATTCTTTCCGAGGTGGATCTTGATTTTGTTTCTTTATTTCATTCTCTGATCAACTGACCAAGGATGTTGGTTAAACTTTTGGAATATGGAGCACTTTTTGACATTCAGCTGCTGTTTCATTCATTCAATTTCAATTCTTCCTTTTCTATGTCAGACTTTACAAAATTATTTTGATCCACTGATTGTAGTTAGGGTATTATCATGGTTATAAATTCTAGACAATGAATATCCCTTGTTTCAAAGCCGCACCCCCCCCCCCTTCTTATTTACCACCAAATCTTCTATTTTCTGTGCACAGTATCACTTATCGCTCCTGTCACCATTATAACCTCCTATGGGTTTCTTAATCGACACGCACAGTAATTGATGTTCTATATACCATTTTTGTTTTTCATTTGACTCGTGTGTCTCTGGAGAAGATGACAACGTTCATATAGTACAATTGTAACATTATGTTTAGGCAAAGATGTCTTTTTAGTAGTGTGGTAGGTTTTCTATGATTACACTTGAATTGCTCTTGTTTGTTAGAAAGTTCCTAAATAGGTTTCATTCTAGGAAGACAATGAGAGTATTCGTCAGCTGTGGCTTGAAACGACTATGGAACGGGTTATGGGAGCGGCAGATGCATGTTTGGTTTGTATGTACATAATGACATCTCGAAATATGTCTAAACGAGTTTATTTGGAAGAGGTAATTGATCGAGTTGTACTTTATATCAAGTACCAGCTTCATAACACGATATTCCCGTCATTCGACTCGACTTATAGGTTAGATAACAAAAGAAAAGATGGGCGACGAAAGAAATCTGCTCAAACAACAGAAAAGGGTGTACTAGTTTTGTATACAAAAATATCTGAGCTGGTTAACTTACTAGCTGAGCTATTAAATATTCAAATTTTAACTGATACATCTGTACTTCACGCATCTTCCATGGGGGTTTCGCCGTTTTTTGCTGAAAACGTCAGTGAGTTACAGTTGGCTTGCTTAAAACTTGTCACAACGGTAAGACAAATTGATGTAGTTGTAAAAACTTTGGTATTACCCTGAATCTTTTTCAGATCTTCACAAAATATGAAACACATCGAAGACTACTTTTAGATGATATTTTAGCTTCTATTGCACGTCTTCCTAGTACAAAACGTAGTTTAAGAACATACCGTTTAAATAGCGAAGAACACATACAAATGCTCACTGCTTTGGTTTTGCAGCTCATTCAGTGTGTAGTATGTTTACCTGACAACTTCTTGCAATCTAAGGATTCCAAAGAAAAGAATGTGACTTCCGAGAAACTTCCACCGGTAAAGGCTTTGTATTCCACGTAGAAGGGCATATCTGATTATTTCATTTTTCAGGTTGACACAGATATTTTCATTTGTAATAAGTATGAAAAAGCCACTTCAATAGCAGGCACATTTCTCACAGTGTTCTTGAATAAGTGTGGAAACAAGCAGGAGGACATCGATTATCGACCATTGTTTGAGAATTTTGTGCAAGATTTATTGTCAACTGTGAATAAACCAGAGTGGCCAGCTACAGAGTTGTTGCTTTGTTTATTGGGAAAAATGCTTGTGAAGAACTTTTCAAATAAGGGTACTGACATGTCTCTTCGTGTCGCTAGTTTGGATTACCTGGGGGTAGTTGCTGCAAAACTAAGAAGAGACAGTGTACTGTCCAGGTGCGAACTAAACACGATAGATCAAATGATAAGAGACATCAAGCAAGAAGAACTCAAAGACAGTGATGAACCATCATCAAAAGTCAAGGTAAGATCGATATATAACTACCTACTGAAAAGTGATTAAATAATGACTATGCATATTCTGAACTTTGGAATAATTAGCTAATTCAATGGGTTGAAACTTCTAATGACCAAAAGGGAATAAGAGGGGATGGGATTATGATTGCTATAGCAAAACCTTTCAAGCCAGACTGTTGAAATCATTTACCGATTATGATGATAAAATTTCTATCAGATTCTAATAAGTGCGTTTTAAGATTCATCACTTCACCACTGTCAAAATATTGGTGTCATTGGCATAATTAACCAGATGTGTTTGTTCATTAACAATATCTGCTGCAAGGTTATTGATGTAAAATACAAAGGGTAATGGGCCTGTCACGCGACCCTAAGGAATACCCACTGAAAGGGTACCTATATCTGAGAAGTGCTGTTTTTTATTTCTGTTTATATCCATTCTTTGTTGACGCTAGCATGGATAAGACCGAATCCAGCTCATCGCTGGTTCTCTTATGCCATATCTTTATAGTTAATGGTGTAATTGAGGCAATGGAATGCTTTAGATAAGCCTGAAAATATACCCATGGATTATCTTTTCTATAGTCGTAGACTGCAGTTTCTATAGATTTTCTTTACCCATGCTGTGAGTGGCTCAGCAATTTATATACAGGGTGTCCCTGGACTTCCTCTTTTCCTCTCGGGAATGTATAGATGGGGTCAAAATATCACCAGTACTTCATATAACTTTTTTTCCTAAAATCCTTCGTTACCAAGTAACGGGCCCTCGAAGTTACAAAATGAAAAATGTTTTTCTTTGATAACTTTTCAAGTGAATATTCAAAATCATCCAAATTTTG